AATGCAGGAAATTCGGCCACAACATTATCTGAAAATAAATACCAATGCTTATAACTTTATTTAATAAATTGTCATTTATTATTATTAACTGCTTTGTTACTGTTTAGTTTTGATCGAGTATAATTAGATAAACAAATTTACCTTCGACAGGGACATTAAAATCAGCATCGCTGTCAACAGGATTTGAGAGAGGCGTAAATTGCTCGGGGATTAAAGAGAAAATTTGTTGAGTACAGTAGAACCTCGATTATCCGCCCCCCGATCAACCGACCCCTCGGTTAACCGACCGTCCTAGTCGGCAAATTTCAAATGTCCGCTAGTGATGTGGCGCTACAATATTTGGCTATGTCTTGGCTACTTTAATATTATTTTTACGTGTTTTAGCTGGCAACACTCATTCGACCATGAAAGGGAGCCAGTATTTAAACGAAGCTTAATTTTCTAATTTTTAACGATACAATAGCGACGATTATTATTTTAAAAAATTTTTGTTAGGCTTAACATCGATGAAAATTCAACGCAAAATAGGTTAATAGCGATATACTAATATACTAATTACATGGGATATAATAATATACTACACTAATAATGGATTTTTTCATACTTTTCGGTTATCCGACCAACCCCAGTCCCCAATTAGGGCGGATAATCGAGGTTCTACTGTAATTGGTGGCATTGGACACTCGATATCGGCACATATTCCTCCTCCAGTACTCATCCGTGCTCGCTTATTTGATACCACATCTTTTCTTGCTTTTTGTTTTAAATTTTTCCACAAAACTTTCAAGTTTTTTGTGTCCCGTTTACTAACCTCCGGAAACTTATTAAATTCTTCGGTTAGAATTTGCCACGTTTCATTTTTTTCTTTAAGGATATGGCATTCGTTTCCTTTGATTCGATTATATCTTTGTATTTTTCGATTAATTCCATTAAATACTCCGTTTCTCGATGAGAAAAATCGGGTTGTCGACTTCGTTTTTTTGTTGTCTGCCATGTTTGTATGTAAGCGCGTATTACGTCTTTCCGAAATATCCAATCGAGTAACGTGTAAGAAAATTTTTTAGTAACGCTGGTGTCGAGATTATCGGATTCACTAATCCTGTTCTTAATATCTCGGAATTTACTAATCCTTCGCTAAAATTTGTTGGTGAATTTTAAAATAACAGATCAATCCATCACGATACTATCGATAGTAAGGACGCCGCCATCTTTATTTCTTTCACCGTCGTTCCCAAATGCCTACAAACAGCAGCGCAATCTTGTAGTAGAGCTACCGCCATTAACGAACGCACCCATAGCAGACTGTAAAGCCCCAGTGGATCCTCTTCAATTGTATCGCGATACGACAAAGTCGCGCGATCTAGTAATTTTACATAAGAATAGAAATAAATATTATATATACTGTAGTACATATGGATATTTTTATGAAACTTTCCATAAGTTATATTTTTTATATTAATAATTTTTTCGATTTTTTTACGCTTTAAAAATAATTTGACTGCGCTTATTGATTGTTGTTGTTTTTATCGCATTTTCCATTTGACTACTTTTGGGCTATTTACTCTGTTGCCGGTTATTTGATTGGGAGTAAATAATCTGGTAGCGGGGAAAGATCGTGCACTTTGTACCCATGAGGCGAGGAAGCGAGACGTTCGACATGATTGTTACCGGGAAAGAGCAATCCGTTTCCATCGGTCTACATTTACTTAATTTTTCATCTGTAGGAGGAAGGAAACGAAGCAAATATATTTTAAAAAGTATCGCACTCGGAGGTTGAATCGATTTTTATGAATCGTGGGAAAAAGATGTAAGAAAGGTAACGTGTTCTTTTATTGTTCTGTTTCATTGAGAAATGTTAAGTGAAATTCATTTTATACTGTGGGGTTCCTAAAATCCAGTCGAAATTTCGATGAATTATAAAATTTCGGAGGGTAAATCGGATCAAGAGCATATTTTAGTGCGGTAGACTCGACAGAAAGGAAAACACTTCTAAAACAAATGCGACGCTGTGATGAGTGATGGAGGGAATGTCGACCGAGTGAGAGGGAGCTTTGTCAGGGTGCTAGTATACATGAGTCGGGGGGGTAAACAATCGAGAAAAGGGGGAACTAATGCCTAAAGGACACCTGTTAGGATGCGACTATGCAGACGCGAGGGAGAAGAGGCAAGACCCGATAAATATCAAAACCTGTCAGATATGTGCGAGAACCAGAAATTCGCTCTCGCTAGCATTATTTCTTGCTTCTTACTTTACAATTTGTTGTAGGGTTAAATTTTACAGTTGTCAATTATTTGCTCTGAAAATGGCGAGCACAAGTGGTGTGTCTAATGTACCATTGGAAGAGAGAAAATGAATCTGATGAAAATTCTTATTCTGAAGAATTCAGTGATATTGAAGATTTTACAGATGAATCATTGAGCTACGATGAGGAGGAAGTGTGCAAGGTAGGTGGTATATGGAAGCTAATTTCACAAAACGTACATATAAACCATAAAGTATTTCCCCACACATTTACTCAAAAACTGAGAAATGTAAATTTGTCATCTACGGATGAGCCGGTAAAATTTTTTGAACTATTTATAACTGAAAAATATCTTGGACATTTAGCACAGCAAACAAATATATATGCTGCACAAACTTTAGCAAAAAAAAAAAAAAAAAACTTTAACTGCAAGTAGCAGGTTGAAATTATGGAGAGACAAACATTGTGGAAATTTAAAAAATTTCTTGGACTATTATTATGGATGGGGTTAGATACCCAAAGTTAAGTGATTATTGGAGTAAACAACGTATATGTAAAAACGAAATTGCACCACAAACCATGGCACGTAACAGATTTGAACTATTGCTACCGATATGGCATTTCTCAAACAATGAAGAAGATAATGGAGACCGACTACATAAGATAAATCCTCTAAAAGACATACTTGAAGAGCTTTATCAATGATATAATGTACCTGGTGAATATTTATGAGTAGATGAAACAATGGTCCCATTTAGAGGATGATTACGTTTCCATCAGTATATTCCTGGAAAACGTCACAAATACGGTGTTAAACTGTACAAAATTGCTGATACAACTGGATACACTAATGGCATACAAATTTATAAAGGTAGAAGTGAAAGACCACAGGAAAAAATTTCCTTATCAACTGATATTGTTCTAAAGTTAGGCAAAAAATGTTTAGGCCAAGGACGTACAGTACATTCACAACAGATAATTACTACACATCGATTGAGCTGGCAGAACATTTATTAGAAAGACACCCATCTTATAGGAACCCTGAAAAAAAATAGGAAACATGTTCCCAAGGAAGTAGTAAACAAAACATTAGCTAAAACTGAAATTATTGGTATGCATAATGAAAAGGGAATAGTTGTAGCTAAGTGGAAAGATAAACGGGATGTGCTCATGTTGTCTACAAAACATACAACAGAAATTACTTCTACAGGTAAAAGAAACTACAAACAAGAAGAAATTTTTAAATCTAAAGTAGTTCAAGACTACAATATTGGGAAAGTGGGTATTGATTTATCTGATCAATACTCTAGTTACTCCACTGCAGTACGAAAGTTGGTAAAATGGTATCACAAAGTTGCAATGGAGCTTATATTTGGAACTACTGTTGTCAATGCACATATTATTTATAATAAAATACCTGATAAAAAAAAAGTATCTTACCATCTTCAAAGAGTCTTTAGTGAAAAGCTTACTCAATGGTGATGAAAGTCATCAAGAACCTGCAGCTCAAAACCCTAAAGAACACACATTGGAAACAGTTAGAGATGTTGACATAAGAAACAGAAAAATAAGGAAGCGTTGTGCATCCTGCTACGCTAAAAATACAGAGCAATTTGGAAGTCGTAAAGCTGATTTAGCGAGCGTAACACCACGAGTCGCTACATATTGTGTGCAGTGTCCAGGAAAACCTGCAATGTGTTCAAATTGTTTTGTAAAAATTCATAAATGAATATTATATACGAGGGTCGTCCCAGAAGTACAGTACCTGACCTGACAGATGGCGGTACTTGTTTGAAAAAAAAACGACTGTGTTCGAAAGTATCAACCTTATAAAGCTTAAGTTTGAAGACGTTACGTTGTATAGTATTTTTTTGGCAGCCATAAATAATGAACAATCTCAGTGAATTTGTAAACATGGAATAAATTTGTCATCATTATGTGATACAATACTTTCATTTGAAAGATTTCAGTCCAACCAATATTAAAGCTGAGCTAGATTCTACTCTGGGGGAGTCTGCTCCCTCATTTACAACAATAAAATATTGGGTGGCAGAGTTTAAACGAGGCCGTACGAGCTGACAAGATGAACATCGCAGTGGTTGACCAAGTGAGGTGACCATGCCAGAAATGGTGGAAAAAATCCACAAAATGGTATTGGATGACAGTCAACTCAAAGTGTGAGAGCTAGCAGACATGTTAGGCATTTCAAAAAGTGCTGTACATCACATTTTAACTGAAAATTTGGACATGAGAAAGCTATGCGCAAGATGGGTGCCATGTTTGCTCACAATTGGACAAACAGAGTTGTGAGGATGTTTCAATCGAGTCTTTGGCAATGTTTCACAGCAACAAAGCCAAGTTTTTGCATTGATTTATAACCATGGATGAAACATGGGTCCATCACTTCACACCTGAGATGAAAGAACAGTCGAAGCAATGGACTTAAAGGAGAGAATCAGCTCCAAAGAAGGTGAAAACAGTTCCATCTGCTGGCAAGGTCATGGCGTCAGTTTTTTGGGATGCGCCCAGGAAAAACAATCAATGGCAAGTATTATGCAAACTTATTGCAGCGCTCAAATCAAGAAAAAACGGCCACATTTGGCAAAAAAGAAAGTGTTGTTTCAAGACAACGCACCAGTTCACACATCCATTATTGCGATGGCCAAAATCAATGAATTAAGGTTCAAATTGCTTCCTCACGCACCCTATTCACCAGATTTAGCCCCCTCGGATTATTTTCTCTTTCCAAACTTAAAAAAATGGCTTGGTGATAAAGTTTTGCCAACAATGAAGAGATGGAGTCTGCGGTTGATGGCTGTTTTGAGAAGCTCGACAGTTCTCACTATAAACAGGGGATCGAAGCTATTGTACATTGTTGGAAAAAGTGTATCAAGCTAAAAGGAGACTATGTTGAAAAATAAAGATGTTTTACCAAATTTTTTTTGTCTTTGTTAGGTTAGGCACTTCTGGGACTACCCTTGTATGTATGTAAAACTTTTATATTGATTTTTATACTCGTTATAAATTCTTTTTTTCTAAATATATATTATTTCCACTTATATACGATTTTTGTTCTGTAATATTATTTACTTTATATGTAATAAAAACAAATAATTAAACTAGTTTTCGTTTTTTTATCCTTTTTTTTACCTTTTCGCTATTTAAAAAACACTATCAGATATAAAATAGTTTATTTAAAAAAACTACAACCACTGACCTTGAACGGCTTCATGAGGTCATTACAATGCGTCGGCAGTTGGAGCTACCACCGCCGGGCCATCCGACTGCCAGCGTTCAAAACCAAGTGCATACACGTCCACGAGAGGCCACCACTAGCATGTAGAAAACGTCTTACGAAGCCAGGATAATTTAACCTTGAGTAAAATTACATTGTTTAATTGACAACGGGCAGTCAGGTGGCTCTGTACAACGACTGCCATGACAACTGCTGGCGCATCATATGGCAGTGAACATGTTAATGTTAAAATAAATGGTTCTTTTAAGATACTTGCAAGACTCCACAACTTCACTGAAAGAGGTCTCCCGCGCATCATTGGTTTACGCGGGAAAAATAAAAGTCCGATACTTTTTGAACAGACCTTGTATCAGTATAAATTATATATGCATGATACAGTATGTACTGCATGTATAGTTTAATGCTGTATTTTGTGTTATGCCACATACTCGATGAAAATTGGCTCAAGTTACTGATAGCACCGCCCATGTGGCAGAGCTTGTCTCTAGACAGAGAGTTCTCCAACCTTATATTCTAGTAATTGTGTCCCCATACGTCATACTTTAATAATAGATTCATGCCAGTCATCTAACACCTTTCAGGGAAAAATATTTTAATTGAAACAACAAGGCTTCAGTTTGCATCAGAAGTTTTTATATAGTTAATCAGGGCCTCCTGCTCCTAAGAATTCTGTATCTGATCTCAGATTTCATCTAACACTTCTTTCTTGAGATTAAGGAAAGGTGGACGGACAACAGGAAATTTTTTATCAGTTTTAAAAGATATTTCCCTATGATGCATGTAGTATGCTTTTTTCTTTACATTAAAATAAATTTTAAACTTGAGACCTGAACCCAAAAAGTAAAATAACCAGAAAAAATTCAGTGTGTTGGTGTTTATTTTGTTTAACATCTCAGAATAGATTTACGTAAGGAATGAAACTTAGCATGATAGTTTCTAAATTTTTGTTAAAGATCACGGGTGGAAAGAGAAGGTTGTCATGGCTCAAGGTTAAGCTTAATGAAGATATTGTTAGAATTTCCAAAATTCTTTTTATAAAACTTCTCTACCTACAAAATTAAGCTTTTTGCCATTCGATAACAATAAAAAACGAATGTTATAAAAATATTTTATAACTTACCACACAAGTTTTATTTATTATACTGTCATTAAAAATACAAGTTACTTTTTAAATAAGTTTGACAGATGGGAAAGTTATGGAACTCCCTAGATTTTTTCAATTGATTTGTTTTAGTATTGCTATTTGTAATTTAACAAAAAAAATTTTTTTAACTAAGAATTAAGTAATTTTCAACTTAAAATTAATTAAAAATTTCTTTTGTTTAGGAATTTGGCCAGTAAAGAAGAGTATGTTATTATAGTAAGTTAACATTTTAATTTCAAAATTTATTTGATATCAAATGAAATTAGTTAATATTTCATAAATATTCATAAGAATTATGGCATCCCTAATGATGATTTGCTTCAGTCACTGATTGCTTTTGTAGACAGTTTATAGATAATTTTCTGAATAATCTGGATTTTATTACTTCTGATTTTGAAATTTGTTTATCAGTGTTGTTAACAAAGTATTAAAGTTAAAATTGTTACTTTAGGGTTCAAGTTTTGAAGACCGAATGCTTGTATTATGGACTGAATACAAGGTAAATTGTTTGAATTCTTGATTAAAGTGTAAAAATGACATTTGAATAACTAGAAAATAGTAAACACTACATACCAATTTTTGTTTGTTATTATTGTAATTTCATTACACTACAATACAAAAGATGTATCAATTACAGATCTTCAGTCTGGCAAAACAAATAAGATTTCAAATCATTATTCCGTTATAGATTCAGTTATAAATTTTTATAGTTGATAAATTTTTAAAATATATGTAATAATAATAAAGTACTAAATGGTAATGTCGTAGTTTGTAAAATAAAAATACATGTTATAATATTTAGGTGGTCTATCAATTATTGGGTCTTTTTAAAATTGTTCCTTTCTTTTGTAATCTATATTTTTACTATTCCATACATTTTTTGAACAATACAATCTTCAAAAATTGGTGTTCTTTCTTTGTACTCTTGCATATAGTCACACTATTTCTCTTGCACAAGCTGACTGGACCCCGAGTGAGCATTAGTTCTAAATTATGCCACTGTGACAAACTACCAATAACTGGTAGTTTGATTTGTGATATTTTTTGAGCATAATTACAAATTATTACATTGGTAAAATAATTATTTATTAAAATCATTAGTTTTAACAACAATGTAGAGCTTGTATGGGACCTGGAGATAAAGTGGGATTCTTCAACCACAAATCAAACTTCTGACCATTGGCGCTGTTTGCTGCAGCAGCATAATTTAGAACTAATGCTCACTCCAGTTGGCTTATTCAAGAGAAATAATGACTGACTGTATACATTAGTACAAAGAAAGAATACCAGTTTTTGAAGATCATATTATTCAAAAAATATATGGAATAGAAAAACTAGATTATAAAAGAATGATTTTAAAAGGACCCAATAATTGATAACTACTTAAATATTACTAAAAACATGTAATAAATGCATAAGAAATCTTAAAATCTTATCTGGAATGCAACTTGATAATTATCTGGATTATATAACTTGATGTTGCTTGAAAATAACTTCAGGCATAATTTAGTTAAGTATTATACAATTTTGTTAAATGAGTAACAAAATTATTGTATTGTATATTGCATATGGATTAACATTAATTGTATTTCATTAAGTGGATATTCTATTATATTCTTGTTGAAGATGAATTTTTCATAATTGAGGCAGAGCTTTGGTGAAATCTCTCTTATTTGGCTTATAAAATTGTGTTCATTGTCAAAATCTGTTTGATCGATTTTGATTAAACTTTGCTATTTTCCATTAATTGTGACAAGGAATCCATAAATGTAATTTAAAAAAATGGGGCCCATGACTGTTTTTGAGATACAAGATCATAGCACAAGTGATATTGTGTGACTGGCTCTCACATATGATGTCTCAAGACCTCTAGCACATCTATGTGACTTATAGAATTGATTTCATACTCAAAAATGTAATAAAAAAAATGTGGGTTCATATACAGTAAGGTCAAAATGACAATGTCCGTTGTCATTTTGATCTTACTGTAATGTCCGTACTCCCTGATGCAAGGATTGCACTTAATGGAATTTATGGGAAAATAATAAAACCAGAATTGCACACGCTTAACAGAAAAGGGCACAAGAACAAAACAATTGGCATTGATTGTTTTGTTCTTGGATTGCCTCTTTCCAGTTTTGTCTCGATCCTATCATGATATGACAGTCACGCAATGTTCTCGTTCTTGCTGATTCATTGATTTCTTCAGATCTCTTTTTTCTTTTTCTTTTCTAAAATGATTTTATGAAAATGATGATTATTTCTCTGACACCTCTAATGATAATTTATGATTAGTAGAGAAACTCTGAAATTCAGTTAAATATTAAAATAAACAACAAATCTTTGTGATTTGAGTCTAAAACTTTTTTTTTTCTTTCAGATTAAACCATTCTACAACAAATTCCATTGCATTCACCAAAGGTAAGTTATGGTATGGTTTCACAGCATCTTTTATTTTGAATTAATTGGTAAATTGTTCAAAACATGTGTATACACCTTCTGTATTTCAGATTTGCCAAAGTTGATTATTTAAAGTTATACTAGAACCAATTATTCAGATTGATCTGGTCTCCTTTGAAGTCGTCACATCCAATCAGACATACTGATACTTCCAATAATTGAAAACTCTAGCATTCATTAAAAACTGGATTTGATAAGTTGACTAGTTTTTGAGTTACGACATGATTTTTGTAGCTTTGTTTATTAAAAATGATACAAATAATGACAGTCATGTATTATGACAAAGAATCATGAAATTAAAATATAGCTGAATGTGTGATGGCCATTTTTTATTTTGTTGGCTATTAGAAGTTAAATTTGTCATACAATAAAAATAATTTGATTAAAATGCTGTTTATTCAGAGAGAATTTTTTCACAAATTATTGTGTACAAAAATGACAATTACTAATGTCATTTTTCCAAAACACTTCCAAAAATACAGGACTGCCTTGTACTTTAAATTTATTTTGTTTCAGGAGGCTGTTTGAATTCTGAATTGTATCAGGTCAGTCCATAAGTTCATGTATATTTTTATGACCTTGAGAAGAATCTTGTTTTGCTGTTAAAAATGTCAGTCTAATGTGATACTTTTTACACTGAAGTGTTAAATTGGATCTCATTCATATAATACTGTTCAGAATTGGGAAAATTTCAATTGTTTATTTTTGTTAAAATGGAAGTAACAGACCATTATAAGAGATGTTTTATACTTTTTACTTTTAAGTGGTGAGAATGCTACAAATGCAGCCAAAAAATTAAATACTGTTCATAATCAAACTGTAATTAGTGTAAGGAATGTGCAGAAGTGGTTTGAAAGATTTAGAAACAATGATTTTAGTGTGGAGGATAAGGCTCGTACTGGAAGACCCATTGACTTCGATGATGATGCTCTCTCTGCACTAGTTGAAGCAGAACCATCTTTAACAGTTGATGAAATTACGGAACACTTAAATTCATCCCATGGAACTGTTCATAGACACCTACAACAAATCAGAAAAGTTTCAAAGCTAGGAAAATGGATACCACATGAACTGTCAATGACTAACCAACAACAACGTGTAAACATTTGCATGTCCCTTTTATCCCGTATTGGTTTAGAACTTTTTCTTGATTGGCTGGTTACTGGAGACGAAAAATGGATTCTCTATAATAATGTGACGAGAAAAAGACAACTCAAATGTATTGTGACCAATTAGAGCATTTAAATGAAAAATTGAAAAAAAAAAATCGACTGTCATTAGTGAACAGAAAGCAGGGGTCGTATTCTGGTCACTGTCTCTGGTCTCTCGTAAGCCGGTCACTGATTGGCTAATCATTTGGATTAGCCAATCAGCGACCGCCTTGCGAGAGACGAGAGACAGTGACCAGAATACGGCCCCAGGTTCTCTTGCAACATGACAATTCCAGACCCCATGCTGAAAAAATAACTACAGAAACTCAAAAGCTTCAACTGGGAAATTTTACCTCATCCACCATATTTGCCAGATATTGCTCCCAGTGATTATCATCTTTTTTGTGGTTTTCAGAATTTTTTAAAAGGGAAACTTTTGAGAATGGGAACAATTTCTGAATATTTTGATTTGAAACCGAAATCATTTCACAAAGACAGGATTAAAAAGCTACCATCAAGATGGCAAGAAATTGTGCAAAATAATGGTGAATGCATTATAGATTGAAATAAAATTTAATAAAAAAAATTTTTTTTTTGGTAGATAAAAATATGCATATTATGGACTGACCTGATATGTTTGTTTAATGAATAAATTATTTGCTGGGAAATAAATGGTTTTGAATTTTGAGAAAATTACCCATTTCAATAAACTTTAGCAAAATAACAATGAAGTCCTAAATAATAAAACAATAAATAGTATGTAAATACTTTAAATTAAAAATGAAATTGCATTTACCAGTTTTGGCATCTTAAACATGGTTGTAATATTGATTTAAAAAAAAAAAAACTGTCAGATGCAACTCAGGCTTTGTTGCTTCCACACTCTTGGATGCCATGTATATGTGAAATCAAACACTGAAGGTGTGTGTAATGCAAGCAAGAGATGACAGTACATAAGGCATTTATGCAGCAAGTGCATTTTTCACTGCATGCATGATTTGAAAACAGCATCTGGATTTAATTTTGAGTTTAATTCTAATTCAGCTTAAACCATTTGGCTGAAGGAAAAATTGAACTGGTTGGTTTGCTATACAAATTCCCCCATGCAGCCCAAGGGGTTAAACTTTTAACATTTTTGGTCTACATTGACCTTACCTTCCTCAGGAAAAAAATGGTTTTTGTTTTATGTTGTTTAAGTGCAGGTAGAGGAAAGAAATATGTTTTAAAAGTGATGTTTTTAACAAGGTTATGAAACTGGGTAAATTTCAAAAGTTGACACACCAGTTCTGTTTCTAAGTTTATATCAACAATTAGACATTGACCTGACCTGATCATCCTATTGTTTAAAAAGTGATTCACAAATACAAGTTGAACTGAATTTAAAATCTTACCACTAAACATATTTTCAAGTCTCACAAGCTGTAGAATTCAAAATCCCAAAATTTTAATTTATGCATTTTTTAGAACATTGTTTTGTGCAAGGTTCATTTTTTCTGTCTTGTAACTTTTGCAAGGTTTTTGCGAAAATTATATAGAAATGAAATAAAACAAACTTTGCTTCTTTTTAATAGCTAATACAGTAATACCTCGACTTACGCGAACCCGGAGTTACGCAATTTTCAAATCTCGTCGATTCGTTTTTTGTTTGAGTGCCATGAAACTCTTGATTACTCACTCCTCCCACGCTATTCAGCTTACATGTTCAGACGTGTCACGCGGAATCAACACATAGCTACAATTTATTTTGTGTTATTTATTTCTGTGTTTGTTATATCTACGGAGACTTGAGAGACTCTATGTAGTGATTTCTTGTAACCGTAAACGAATCAAAAGACGAGATAAGATTAACGAGAACACTTATTAGCTTACATACATCCGATTTGGATTTTACACAAATTGTGAAATTATACCCCGACTTACGCAGTTATTGCTCGGTCCCACCTATCGCGTAAGTTCGGGGTATTACTGTATTTGTAATTTAACACTATTAACAACTGAATTGGTTCAGATAGTGAAAATCATCAGCCTGCTATTCTGTAAGACCTTGGCCACATTTTTAGCTAGTTATAATTAATGCAAATGTCTATGTTGAAACCATGATTTTGGTTTCCAATATGTTGGGCTGCCTTAGTACCTGTAAGACAAGTAAGTTAAAACCAGCAATTTGCATAACTTTCCCAACTTTTATATTAAGCAAATTAAAGAAAATTGTGTGGGGCACCATCTGTTGAGATTTTATATAAAAAAAAAAAACCTTAAGCTTTGTTGTAATAGGGTAATTAAAAGTATAACTTTGAGGGGAGGGATTATAAGTGTAAATGTGAATAATTTGTAATGAACAAGGGAAAGTATTTGAATCTTATGTATAGACAACAGCCGGGAAAGTAAAAAAGTAAGGTCGGAGTTGGGTTTTTTGTTAACTGACTCCACCACACTGGCTTCATAGCTGCTTACAATGAAACATGTCCTAAGCCAGGGCTTCTTAAACTTTTTTTATTCATGACCCCATTTAAGTTATATACAAATTTGCAAAAAATAATTGTGTAATACCACAGTTCACTCTTGTGTTACAATAGAACAGACAACTGAATACACTGAAAAGTGACAACACTACAGTAGTTCACACTACAATCTGTTGCTGAATCATTGTCTCACTGCACCAGAAGTGACACAAAGCACAACTCACGAAACCTATGACAAAAAGCATGCCATTTTCAAATTCTCAAATTATTTTCAATATTTTGCATTAAAATCTCATGACCCACAGTTTAAGAAGCCCTGCCCGAAGCAAACTAATGATAGTTTCATATGAAACAATTACATCATTGGTTTCCTTAGTAGCTTGACACAAAGAAACATGCCCATACACATTTGCATAAATTTTCTAACTAGGTAAAATGAGAAAAGGTCTCTGAGAATAGCAGGCTGAGAATTTCCACTATCTGGACCAATTCAGTTGTTAATAGTGTTAAATTACAAATATTAGCTATTAAAAAGAAGCAAAGTTTGTTTTATTTCAATTCTATATAATTTGTTTTTACCTTGCAAAAAGATACAGAACAAATAAGAAAGGCAGCTATAATTTAAATTTTAAATGTTTGAAGTTTAGATTATTAGACTCTAAAATAATATATTTTTGTTATCTTTATCCTTTAATCCAACCACAGAAGTAACAGTTACAATGGTTTTGAAGAATAAAACTTCTTAACAAAGGTAAAAATTTCACAAAGGTTATTTATATAAATAAATATATATGAAAAAGAGAAATATATGAAGATAATGTCATGAGTCAGCATGAAAATTTAAATTCTGAAAATCAAGATGACTGTTGAATGCATAATCAATTGAAAAATTTGTTTTCATATAATCATAGTGCTGAATATCTGGTACCTGTTTTATAAAATTATTTGGTGGAATTATTCTTCAAATAATGGCACTAACCTTTGGTAGAATCGAGGGCGAAATCGTCAAATTTCCTAATGATTCGTTTTTCTTTCAATTAACTTCATGAATATCCAGATTTTTGCATGCACAATTTTGGCAGCCTTTAAAACTTCATATTCTCAACTGACAAGTGCATCATTCAAAAAAATGTTTTAGATTTACACCAAAGCAAATTTTTATTAAATCCAGCCCCTGGCATTCAGATATTTTAGTTCAAAAATAACATTTAATCACAAAGTTGTGTGGGGTGCCATCTGTTACAGGATTTTGCCAAGTTTTTATATCAATGGCAAAAGGCTTAAATTTGAGGTGGTGATGAGTTTTATAAGAAATTGTTAATGACAATTTTACTCGTTTATTAGTGTGAGAACCGAGGGGGTTAGTTGTCCCCACTTACCAGCGGCGCTGTCAGAGGATGGCTTTATAGGAGGGCAATATAAAATGAGTGGGGAGGTTAATGGGCAAGTTGACAGGTTCCCAAATATATACACAGGTTAAACAAGAATAACACATTTAATAAACAATTATAAAATTGTACATATCAAAGGCTAAGGTGAAGATCTACAAAAATTCTATTCTATGTTGCTACAATGATTTGTCTTCAATATGAAACATCTAATCTCTATTCTCTAAGTTAAGAGACGATAAAGAGATCTCTAGAAGAGAGATTTCACAGAGAGTATACAAATAGATAAAGAAAATAAATACCTCTAAGTTCCCAATCCGTAATATGGGTCGTCGGTAAAAACGTTCCTGGATCGTCACGGCAGTTATGGCAGTATTGGTCAGTAGATGTGGCAGTCGATATCCACCTTGTGGACTGCGTCTAAGCCCTCTTTATACTATTTTTGAGGGGTGAGAACTATGACATCATTAATGATTTATATGCACACCTGTTCGTGTGTTGATGTCTAGATCTAGCTAGTACGGACCACTGACAGAGAAGTTTGTTTAATTTATTGATATCAGTGTCTAGAAGATACAATTTTATAATATAAATTTCTATACGTTCGACAGCTCTCATCCATAAATTAACATTCATCTGACAATAATTTCTTTAACCTGGTCAACTATCTAGATATTGTTTATATCAAACGTCACGTTTGACTACTTACGAGGCGATTTATTGCTGTGATTACATGTCACATGCAACCAAAGAGGGGGTAAGAAACATCTCTTATTCCTGTATTGTTGATATTAACGTCTATAGAATTACCTTTAAACAAATGGAGGAGATTTCTTTTATTGATATACTAACGATTTTTTACTACTATACTAACGATATATACAAACAAGGAGATCGTCTCGGTCATCGACCGCAGAAGTCCCCCTTTTTACCTGATCACTAAGTTTATTAGAAAGGTGATACTGTTCTAAAACAAAAAGGTTTTGGACCGTCACATTAGCATTAAGTTTGACCCCAAAAAGGCAGAGGATTTTCTATGGTAAAGTGGCCCTATTTAAGCATTAGGTGTGTGAAGAAAATTGAAAACTCCATTTAGCTAGCTAGCTTGGTGAGGAAAACTCAACCAAATACCAATATTCAGTTTTATCCCATTAGCCACCAGTAGTCCCCAGTATTGTAATATAGTGCTAAGCAGTACCATAATACTTGAGTTACCATGTTTTTAGTAGTAATACCATGTCCATAAAGAAGAATCAACTGAAATAGTTGTGCTACTAAAACAAAAAAGTTATACAGTGTGCCACTATTAGACAAAGGTTGAAAAATACTAGTCATCTAGCTATTAAATTTTTCAATTTTATAAAATATTTAAATTAAAATGTTAAAACAATGTCTTTAATTAAAAACACACTAAAGATTAAAAAGTAAATATTGCAAAAGTTTTTTATTTCATGATGTATTAAGTTTTCTTCTGCAAACTCTGGGATCTCAACATCATATTCATTAACCCTGTAGGTCTGCATGAAGCAGTTTGAATTATCTTGTATACACCAAGTTACTTGAATTATATACCCAGATAGGAAATTTCTAGTGTTCAGCACTAATAATTTCTCCTTTTACAAAAGAAAAGTAATAAAATTTACATAGTAAATATTATATTCAGATTTACATATTTTAAACTTCATTAAATATATATGAATTATCAAACTGATATTTTCCTAATTTAAGCAGAGTAATCTAGACACATTCATTTAGGAAACAATCTTGATATAAAAAATGTAGAACAAGAATGATATACTAATGTCATTTTAATCTTCCAAAAACTGTTTACAACACAAATGAATAACTTGACCAAGACACCTTTATTTACAATTGAGAATTTAGAAATGAATATATAGTTTAAAAGACACCAGTTTTGATGACAAATCATAAAAGCACTGTAAAAAATAACACCGATGAACAGTAGTGGATGTCAGCAACATGATTTACTACAGACTGCAAACATTCTATCAGACAAATGAGATATGATGGTTTAGAAATGTGCAGGAATATCTCAAAACCAAATCTGAAGGGAAGCAGTTTTTTGTAAGTTCTGAAAGTTTCTTATCTTAAATTGCATAAACTCAATTCTCTCATCCATTGCTGCAAAATGTTTGTCTTGTCTTTCATCACCAATGCTGTTTTAAAGCTTTTATTAAATATAATTGTTCTGATACAGTTCAACACACTAATGCTTATGGGGAAGGTCCAGTACTTAACTAAAGAAATTATTCCTGTGGTGCCATAGCTTTGGCTTGAGCTCTCACTCTTTTCTCATATTCCAATCGATTCTGACTACATATAAAAAAAAATTACCAGTTTAACTTCAAAGAATAATAATGATATATATTTATATATAAATATATTTACCAATATATAGTATATGCTTCTGCCTGGGCAGGATCTTTAATATTTGGTTCATTCAAAAGATCTTGTATTCCAAGCAGTATCTAGAGAGGAGGAGAATTTTTCAATCACTTATTATATATAAAATAATCTCAAATTTTCTGAAAATCCTACCTGTTTAATTGTAATGGCTGGTCTCCAATCTTTCTCTTCATCCAATAATGATAAACAAACAGTTCCAGAAGGATAGACATTTGGATGAAACAATGGTGGCTCAAATTTACCTAAATTTATTTAATTATGTTAAAATTTATGGACAAGATCTGTTCATACAAAGAAGAGTATTTACACTGAATTCAAAGTTATTTCTTGACAACTGTATAAAAAATCTTAAAAATCTACATTTTTTAAAACACATTTTAATAGTTTTATTACTAGCATCAAAATTTTCTACTTCAGATAATTATATATTTTTTTCAGCTGTCATAAAAATTCTAATTTTTTGTATTCAAGGATTAAAAATTTTACATATATGTTTTTGTAACAAATAATAAAAATAACACACAACTTTATAAAAGTCAGAATTAAAGTATTTTTAACCTTTTCTGAAAATCAAACTAAAAGTATTCAAGATAAAATTCCAAAATTACTACTATAAAAACTAGCTATATAAATGTGTGTATATATTTTCAAACAAATCAATTTTAATGAATATAACATTAATAAATAATTTATGATGATTATATATCAACTTAGCATGGATAGTTCGTAAAACAATGAAGATTACTTAAAAACTGCTACAAAAATTTATATAATTACATAATATAGATAAGCATTTTGCAAATTTTGTTTTAATGATTATATAGACTGTGATGATGACTATCACTAAAACCAGAATCAGCAATTCAGAAGACTGTTGATTCTGTTCAAGGTACAGAACAACAAATAAATAAAAACATTGTTTGGAAAGAGCCAGTTAAGTTGAAGGAAGCAAGGAAAAGTCTTGACAGATTAAAAAAAAAGTATGTTTACAGAGCAAGAGATGTTATTGTCTGTGTTAGACAAGATAGAATTTTCTGTAGCACCTAACATCTCAACATAAATAACATGGACCGAAAAAAATTAGACTTCTATACTACTAACATTTAAGCCTATTTTTGTAAAGTTGTAATTTGATTGTGTATTTTTTTTAATGTATAACTCTTCAATAAGTAGTTCATTAATAAGTGTTATTTCATATGTGGTCCTTGTAATTTAGCATTTAACTTACTTGATGATAACTTGTTTTTTTTCCATTACAACAATCTTTCAGTTTAACAAACATTTTTGAGATCACCTTAAATTTGTTGCAATGTGATCCCACTGTATATTATAAAATATAAATACAGTAGTTCCTCCTGTAGATAAACACATCACTTTTTTAAAGCACTGCATGATAAATATATCTGTTTTTGAACCAGTGTTTTTTTTTATAACATATATTTGTATAATTAAGTCTCACTATTATTGATTGGTTATAACATTGATTAATCTAGAAATACATTGTAAATTTAGAGAAAAAAAAATAAATATATATATACATATATTTCAGGGGACTACGGATTGAATTAATAACTACAGAAAATCAATTTTTTTTGTTGTTAATTCTGATCAGTGATTTAATTGGTACCAATTTTAACTGTTCATAAATTACTCAGGAATTCTGCTATTAAGTCAAATATACCTAAGAAGTGAATTGACTTTATTACATAAGTAATAAATATTAGCTTTTCATATCTTACTTTATAATATAAAGAAGAAAAATAAGACATTTCAAATTATATTTTTAAGTGAGATAAACTATAATAAATATTTAGCATAGTAGTTTCTGTTTTTGCTTTAAGTTAAAATTACACACAATTACCAGTATAATTTCTTTTCTGAAAAATATATTTTTTTAGAAAATTAAATCTGAAGACTGGACTTTTACATGTCTAGCAAAATTTAATTATTCTACTTTTTGATAAAAAGCAATATCAATTATATGCTCAAATGTACTTAATTTTTGAATTAAATCATACATTTTGGAGGCGTTGAAGGATAGTCTTCCTTGAAAATCATTCTTAGTCTATATAGTCCACCTTCCCAAGGAGTCTAGTTAAAAATTTTCAAAAAATATGTTAAGCATTAATTGAAATTTCCATAAAGATTTATTTTTAATAATTACACATACAGCTTTCTTCCCAGGAATTGCACATTCCCAATTCATAAGATTGAGTGTTCCATCATTATTCTTTGTTGGTCTTGCCACAAATCCCTGATAAATGAAAATAACTAAATCTAATCTGAAATAATAGTGTCAAATTACAATTTGTCTACTTACAAAAGGATGATCTTTTCGCCAAGCTTTTCTTTCTTCAGCTAATCGAGCAATTGCAATTCCAGACATTTTCTAAAATCACATTTAAAATTAATATATATTTTAAATTTTTAATTAATTAAAAGTGAATTATCATTATTGTAAATAAACAGAAATAATGACAACAAATGAAAATAATTTGAATCAATCCCAAAACATAATGGAATTGAACTTTAATTCTTTATTTTCAATCCTCGTAATTTAATTTAAGTTATTCTAAATTGAGAAAATTCTTTGCAAACAACAAATAATCTAAATTATTGTATAATTGTTAAGACTGATAATACAGTAGAACCTCCATTATCCGGACCTCCATTATCCGGATTTTCGATTATCCGGATTGTTCAAAATAAACAAAAATTTTACGAATTTGCTGATTTGCACTTGGCGAATTACGACACTGTTTATGTACGTGATGGAATGCATAACTTTTTTTGTTTCAACAACGTCTCACCCAGCACAGTGGTCGTAAACTCTTAAATATATTTTACGTAGTAATAAAAATATAACTTGACATACGTATTTATAAATAATTTATATTCAAATTACATCATTTCTATGACCAAGGGCGGCGTAAGGCATGGACGACGTGGGCCACCGTCTATGCCTTGCGGTCCGAAGGGCCTCGCGCCTCGAAGGTTTATGCATTACTTAAAAGCCGCTCACGCAACGAAAAAATTTTACTTGTCATAAAACGATAAATAGTTTGTCAAATTTTTATTCATAAAAATGCAGTTTCAACTGCTTTTTATTTTATAAAATCCGTCTTCTTGCGCCACCAGAGGGCCTTTTAAACAATAGGTAGTCTGTTAGCGTTGGTCAGTAGTAGTCCTAATGCAATACGAACGTTTGTTTCTTGAAAATTTGATCACGATTTAAATACAGCATTTACTTTTAATATTACCGATATGTCATTGAAAAGAAAACGTGTTGTATTATCATTAAAAGACAAATTAAAGTATTTGTTTTGATTATCCGGATTTTTCCTTATCCGGACTACCTTCATCCCCAATTAGTCCGGATAATCGAGGTTCTACTGTATTTAAATTATCAAATGATTTAATTTATTCAAAAATCTATCAGATATCTTGCAACCTTTACTAATTATTTTTTATCAGAATAATTCTAATTTATCATAACAATTACTTCTTGTTAATACTTAATTTAGAAAAAAGAAATCAATAGCACCTTAAAAAATCTAGCAATGAGTAACTTTTCAAGCAAAAATCTTTTACAACCATGGGACAATATTCTACCATATACTCATACTATAAGTGTATTAACTTTAAGAACTTTTTTATTGTATATCACACTAGCTGTTACCAGCGGCTTTGCCCGTGCGGATTTTGTAAGCAAACCCAATTTTTATTCAGTATTTCAACAACCATAGTAATTGTTATAACACCTACTGCTGAGAATGATGAAAATTGCCGAGAATCAAATGAACTATTTTCAATTTGATCAATTTTCTGGAACGTTTACAATCGTTCTATAATCAAACCGATACGCAATAACAAATTCGAATTTAAAAAGGTTTGAACATTTGGTTAAAAAATCAAAATATATAAAAACATTTATAACAATGTTATCAATTTAATACACCTAAGTACTTAACGAAGACTAAACATAACAAAAAATCTCATGTAAAATAGTACAGTAGAAGCCGTTCTTCCGGTTAAGCCTTAATGCTCTCCCTCTCCCTCCGCGGGGGAATTTCGAAAAATCCCTTCTTAGTGTGCATTGCCATGGCGTACCCTACTAAAATGCAGATAAGAACAGAAAATCGCATCTAAAATAGTACAGTAGAAGCCGTTCTTCCGGTTAAGCCTTAATGCTCTCCCCCCGCAGGGGGAGAGCATTAAGGCTTAACCGGAGGCAAATTTAGGAAGCATTAAGGCTAAACCAGATGAAAATTTTTTGAAATTCCCCCGTGGGGAAATTTCGAAAAATCCCTTCTTAGTGTGCGTTTTCATGACGTACCCTAACTGTGTACCAAATTTCACCTCTTTAGGTTCAGTGGTTTGCTCTGGGCGATGATGAATCAATCAATGACTCAGTCAGTCAGGACAAGTAATTTTATATACAGGTAACCCCTGTATAACACGGTAGTTACATTCCAAAAAATTGCCGTGTTATGCGAATCCTTGTTATATGAAACAAAGAACTAATACGAAAAGGAGGGTTAGGTTCCAAAAATTAAAAAACATGCTAGTATATTTTCATAATTAAGATAAATATCTTCATTAAAAATTTTTTAAGTGATACATATTAATATAAATTAAACAATGTTTTCTTCGTCATCACTAAAAACACTATTAATTAACCGAGAGCGTTTTCTTTTTGGCAAGTTATCCTTATCCTCTGAGCATTTTTCTGCATTATCTTCAGATCCATGCTTTACCTTTTGCAAAATGTATGTAATTTTAGATTGCTTGCTTCTAGTTAAAAGGTCTTTATAAATTTCCTTATATGGTGCTAAGCACTTATGAAGAATAAAGCAAGTATGGAATAAGGGAAAAACATTCGGCAACATCAGAAGCAGAAGCGTCGCGATCTGGCAACATTGAAACAAGTTTCGAGAAGGACCACGTGTATCGACAGAAGGCGAGAAGAGAAAATTTACATACTTAAGTACTAATAGTTCACGAAAATAATAATTTTCGTGAACTATTATTACTTAAGTATGTAAAAATTTATTACATTTCCTGTTGTACAAGGGTTTTACCCATTTCTCGAACCGTGTCAGAGTGGATCCGTGTTATACGGGGGATGGTACCAATTCTCGAACTGTGTTAGAGTGAATCCGTGCTATAGAAGTGCCACGTTATACGGGGGTTACCTGTATTTAGATGATGTTTCATTCCTAACAAAAGAATCTACATAAATTATATCACTAGTTTAGACTGATTTTTTCCATTATTTTCTCCAGAAATAAAGCATTGAAATGTAAATATGCATATCGTATTTAAATAAGATATTTTACATTAATGATAATTTGAATGAATGAAGACCTTGCCAATACGCCCCAAAGCCTGGCAGTTTTGTTATTTATTGTTATAGGCTAGTTTTGTTCATTTTGAGTGCTGCATGCTTTTATGAAGTGTTAAACATGGTGCTTTATTAATATAGAACATACTGAACACATTAATTATAATTTCATGCATCTGGATAAGTCAAAAATTTGATTATCTAAACAGAACATTTTTTGAAAATACTTTAATACTTGGAACCTCAATAGTTTTGTTCCCAAATTCCTAGTAAAATCCCATGTTTAGCAAAAATTACTTTTGACCAGTGATGATTTGCATTTCTATCAAAAAAGGTCAGAACAGACAGACAGAAGCACACCCACCATTTTGAAAACATACACAGTACGTGTATCCTTTTTTGAGTGTTGCTATATTAGAAGAATGTAAGGAACAATCACGACTAACAAGGGACTCATTGGTATGTCATAGTCAAGAGTTACAAGCATATTTTCCAACAGTCTACCAGAAGTATCCATCAGTCCTTCATGTAGGACCTCCTTGTCTAATCTATGGTTAAACAATTTTATTTCAAGATGTAAAAAATTAACTTTTCTAAAAACTGCAATCAAGCAATAAGAGCAAATGTAAGCTTAATTGAGAACAGCAGCAACATTATGCAAGAAAAATACAGGGCCATTCCACATCAAGTGATCAAGGTCTCAATCGATTCTCTCAGATTTCAACAGAATTTTGCACAAAGGTACATAAGGACCTTAAACTAAGCCATGTAAAATATTAGCCCATAGACTGCATGGTTCATGAGACATAAGCCAAAACATGTAAGTATAGTACCTCAAGCCACCTGTGTTTGTGCCATGATTAAACAGTTGTCTTAATGGTTCTTTGACTAGGAGCAATTACAACACAAAACTTTATAGTATAAGACAGTTTCAAACGGAAAATTCAAATATGCTAACAGAAGATTCTAACAAAATGTAATTATTCTATTCATAAATCTTTACCAAAGTTTAGTAAAATTCATTCTCATGGAACTGAACTACTTAAACTAATGAGACAATACAATATGAAAGACATTGAGGACAATAAAGAGAATTTATTAATTTTAAAACATATTCATAACAGAAATATCATGTTCTATAGTTATAAAAACATGATATTTCTGTTATGAATATGTCCAAGGACAGCATGTTTATACACAGTAGTTCTTAACCTTTTTATACTCGCAGCCCACAAATATTTCATAATTTTTTTGTGACTCCCATTTCTTTTAATAATAATTTATATCTGTTAAATTATCTATAATAAATTGTTTTTTTTTTATTATTGTTTTATTTTTAAAATTCCAAGAATTAATATTTCTTACAATTACTTTGGACTAAAATAAGTAAATACTGCAGTATAAGTAGCATATTTGCATTTATTTCTTCTGTACTAACAAAGTTGTATGTAGGAAGAAATAAGAAATAAAGTTTTCGTATTTGGTGTTTTTTTTATTTATTTCTTATTTCACTTTTCAATACGATATTCGGTTATACATCAATTTTTGACAAGACTATGTCTTGTTTATAAAATCGTACTGCCGTTTTATGTTACCAACATAGAGGTATGAAGGAGTACATGTCGAGAGTTGATATTTGGCACAGAGTATTAGATGCCCAAATCATTTGCGCATAAAAAAATCCAGACTCATAGGTAGTCAGAGAATCAAGTCAAAATAAAATACAAATTGGTGGCCCTCTTCTACAAACAGGCAAAACAGCCACATCACCCCACCGAAGTCAGGTGGGGGAGAATACCACCCACAGTCATTCTAAGAAGTGAACTCTGACCTTAGGCCCGAACACATAGTTTCTTCTATGTTAAATAAAATTTCTAATCTAATTTTGTAAATTTGGGAGTGCTTCAAATATGACATTAAAACGGGGTAGTTACAAGTGGGTTTTTTTTAACATTATCTAGTATAGTAAAATCGTGGAACTGATAAAAATTTGACGTTATATTAGGGTTGTCGTTAGATCCGACGACGTTATAATCGGGTTAAAC